ACTATGATTATAACTATGCAAAACAAAATGATAAAACTGCATAGAATTTTGAGCAGTGCTTGTAGGAGTTGCCTTTTGGAACTCCTTATTTTTGAAAGCCTTAGAAATGTTTTTTCTTTTCCTTGAGTAGTTCAACTTCTGAAAATATATCTCAAGAAAATGATCTGAAATTCAAAAAAATAAAGGTTTACGAAGAATTGTTATGGTACCACAGCAGCTTTTTCTTTCTTGAATTTGTGAAGAGCTCAAAACAGCCTAAATGTGTAGGAAGAATGCAATGGTTAAATAAATTATAGCTTATTTGTTTGCAGAATGTTTTGCAGCTATTAAGAATAAAAAATATGACAAAGGTAAATTGATAAATCTAAAAGAAAAGGCAGTATTCATTTAAGAAAGCAACACATAAAATAATATTACTATATGATTTAAAACTAAATAGAGAAAGATAAAAGTACACCAAAATTTAATAGTGTATTTAGTAAAAATATACAGAAAATTAACAGTGATTATCAGTAGTTACATAAGGGCAATTTCTAAATGCTCTTCTTTATCATGCTTTTCTATGTTTGCAATGTGCACATGGTAAAGCACAATATGTACTGCTTTGATAATCAGAAAAAAATTATAAAAGCCTACATAAAAAAAATAAGAGAAAATATCTAATTTGCAGGATGTAAGGGTGATTAAGTGCCGTGTGCTTGTTTTATCTAATTTTCACATCCTGGACTGTAGTTACTTTAAATTTATCATTTCAAAGACTATAAATTTTAATGAGATGACCCATGTCACACCTTATGTACTTTCTGGTAAGATATAACACTAACACTTTAAATTTATGTAAGAATGTATAAGTTGCAAAATATTTTGTTTGGTTTATTTCATTCAATTCTCACAACACCTGTATGAAGTAGAAATGATCAAGTTACAGTTGCAGAAACTGAGGCTCAGAGGTCCACCAAGTCAGGTGGCAGATACCTAACTGAACCAGTGAGGGACCAGAGGTTGTGTCTCCAAATGCAATACTCTTCAGCTCCCATGGAATCCTCCTAGCAGTTCTCACCAGGGATGATAGAGCACTATGCCATTGCAAACATGACACAAATGCTGTAAGCAACCAAGGTGTTTACTGGAAGAGAACAACTTTGATTTGCTTTGTAACTACTCTTTCCACTGTCTTCGTAATGATTAATGTTTTAAAATTAAGGTTTGATGTTTCAGTTAGTGCTTTTCCAACACATCTCCAATCCCTTGATATTCTAAACTAATTAAGCAGTGATATAATCTTTGCATGAAATACTTTTTAATTAACCATAGTGATTCTCAAATTATTCAGACTGGGATCGGGACCCTTTATATTCAAACTGACAATCTAGTACACATGAACTCTTTATTTAAATAGTGACATCTGAGATTAAGCTCAATAAAGGTTTCTGCGGATACTTACTGCAATATCAAAACTTTACAAAACACTCAAAGTGACCCAATTAGAAGAGATAAAAATGAGTGACAGAAACAGTAGTTATCAATGGTATAGAAAAGCTAATTCTACTTCCTCACATTAATTTTCACAAATGTGTCTGCATATTTATTTGAAGACTGTGAAATGTATTTTATACTCAAGGATATCAACTAGATAAGGATGATACTTATTTTGTTCTTCAATGACATGAGAGCCAGTTTTGCAGAACTAGAAATTAACACTAAAGGACAAGGTAAGTTTATGTGAATGTGTACACGCATATACAGAATACACAAAATCTGCTAAAGATAAAATTCTAGGATTTCTGCAGCAGAAAAGATCAATAAATTTTATGGATTCATTTCAAAGAGAAAAATTAAATAAGGCTTCTGTCTTCCTTAGAATTAAGAACAAAGGGAAATATTTGCTGAACTTGATTCCAGAATAAAATGCAAACATAAACATGTTTATGAAGGGTTGTAATCAAATAAGAAGCTCTTAAAAAATACCTTTGAAAGTCAAGCATAATATAAGAGCAATTCATAAATTGTCAAATTGTTATTTCCTGCTGTGAAAGTTAACCGAGTTCAGACGTTAACTTTGACATTTGCATGTGCAATGACATGCAGTATTCTTGTATGTGGTCGCGGAGTTCTCACTTTCATTTGAGAGCTCAGGTAACAAAATATTTTCCTGGAAATCTTCACATAAAGACATTGAAGCATGTTTAATAAGTACTATTCTGAGTGTTTCTAAAGAACCATAATGACAAAGTGACATATATAACGGCATCACTCATAGTCATCTCAAGTTTGTCCAAAATCTAGCTCCTGATTCTTCCCCAACATGGTTTCCCTGGGGTCTTCCCCATCTCAGTAAATGGTGACACCATCTTGGCAGCTGCAGACCAGAGTCACTCTTGACAATTTCCATCAGCAAATCCCCTCGACTCTTGTTCAAAATCTACTCAGAATTCGACCCCTCCTCTCCATCATGCTTGTCACTACCATGGCCCCATCACCAAACTCTTAGCTGCCTTATCATAGTGGCCTCCTCACTATGCTGCTTCCTTCTGCCTTTCCTCCTCTGTCAACACTTAAAAACTGAAGAAAGAGTGATTTTTTTCCAGAAAAAATACAAATAGCCATGTCTCTGCTGTGCTTGGACTTCCCAGTGGTTTCCACCTCACTCAGAACAAAGCCAAAGTCCTCCCAAAAGCCGGTTAGGTCCTGCATGGTCTGCACTGCTGGGTGCCTCTCTGATCCACCGCCTACTCCTCTGCCTCTCCCCTACCTCCAACCACCCGGGGTCCTTGCTGTGCTCCCACCAAGCCAGGCGTGCTGGTGTTTCTTCTTATTCACTATCCCCTTTGCTTGGATTGCCCTTCCGCAGTGTCCACGGGGTCACTCCCTCACAGTCTCCATGTCTTTAACCACGTGTCACCTTCTCAGGGAGACTTTCTATGGCCCTCTTCTTTCTGCAGTCTCTCCATCCCGTCTTCCCTATCCTCAGGCTTTACTTCCTCCAAGGCTCTTTGGATCAATTGAGAATATATTTTATTTATTTTTGCTTACTATTTGTTTCCAGCTCTTAAATGTAAGATATTCAATTGTAGTTCTTTTGCCTTTTTTCTGCTCTATTTCCATCTCTTAGAATAAAGCCTTGCACATATTAAGTACTCAATAAAGTATGTTGAATGAATAAAATCTATTTTATGTAAAGAATAAGAGTCCCTAACTTTTCTTTTAAAAAGAGTAAAACTCGTTGCCTCCCTACACTGAAAGAATATAAATCAACTCATTAATTGGCTACTAAGAAATGACTGAGATTCCAGGGCCACTGGTGTGCAGGGTTCTCTGAGGGTTGCAAACGCTCTCACTCTTCAAAGGTCTCACAGTTTAAGACAAAAAACAATATTCACTAGGGAACATTTAAAGAACAATAAAAAGTATTGTTACTAAATGCTAAGTCAAGCGTTGTGTTATTTAGGCGGTGTGTGTTCTAATTCCATTACTTCTATTAACTATATGCACCTAAGGAAACTATTGCTCTTCCATCCTCAGTGTCTATTTTGCAAAGAACGTGAAAGCACTACTTGGTTTATTGGATCATTCGAATTTTTAATTTCTGTTGGCCCATGATCTGAGAGAAAGGAGAAGCCAGCTGAGATTCATATGTGAGAATGGGTTAGCTGTCGGGCAACTTTCTGCCCCTGTTCCTGGCTCTTAGCCTCCCAAGAAGCCACATTGAGGGAGTTCTAATAACCTTGATGGACTGAAAATACATCCACACTAGCCCTTTCTCAGTGAACTCTGCTGAACCTTAGCTAGTCAGACATTTATCACTACATTTAAATATATTGGTATTTTAAATAATTTCTAACATCAACATGTGAATATTATTAAAACTAGAAATGTTTTATGTAATTAGCTGTCGTGTGTGTGTGTGTGTGTGTGTGTGTGTGTGTGTGTCTTATAAAGTCTCACTCTCTTTGGTTGTTATTTATCTCTATATCATAATGTGTTTATCTCTATGATGTGTTTTGGTTTGCCCAGAGAGACAAGTGTCTCTAGGTCTGGAGTCATGGATTATATGCTTCTCCATCTCACTCTCTCTCTTTTTTTCTTTACTGTATATCGTGTTATACATAAATATAAATGGGTTCTAGACTTTTCTAAATAATATCTCCTCAGCCTAATGAAAGGAAATATATGTCATACATCTGTGCTACAATATAAATATGGTCATGGACAGAGGCCTTCATGCCGCACATCATCCTATTTCATCAGCCTAGCATGGACAACTGCCTTTGAATGGCCCCAGAGTAGAACACATATGATCTATCTTTGCAGCATGGGCAGGGACAGCAATGTCTCTATGCAGTAATGAGAATACTCATGAAAGTTACCATGTTAAGACGTCTGGATTAGAGTAGTTTCTGGGGGTGGGTGGGGATGGAGAGGACATCCTGTGGAGTTCACCAAGCCCCTGAAAGACCTGGAACAACGTGCCAGTGAGCAAAGCACAGGAAGCCTCCTATCCACTGGGAACCATCATTCCAGCTTACAGACGAGGGTTCCGAGTTTCTTACCTGTGCCCACATAGACCCATGCTGGTGGTGTGGCCCTGGGTGACATCATTCTATATTCTCCTGACTTGTTTATTGAAGCAAGTCATAAATAAGGGAAGAAGGGGTCAAGCCAGAGCTGCTTGCTTCTGTCTGTGGCTAGCACCTCCTAAGCATGACTGCAATAGAACTTCCTCCTTCTGGGATACCGGAGTTCTCAGTTTGCTTTTCCTTCACTGGCGTTACCTCCCTTATCATTTGTTCCACCAGAGCCCAAAGCAGCCTTTCCAGATTATGGAAGCAAGAATCCCTGGGGCAATGCACACTCCCTCCTCACTCCAGCTATTTTATAAATTGAGATGGCAGTTTAGTCTTGGCATCTCCAGACTTAGCACCTTCTCTCATTCAACAAGCGGTGTCGGGGTTGTAGGAGAGACCGCACCTCCAAGTTGTGACTTTGTGAACACGAGTTACCTGTGCAGATTCTTTTAAAGTTGGGATTTTCCAGAAGGTGTCCTGGGAGGCGGCACTGGAACCGGTGTTGCCAGAACTCAGGGAACCAGGGATTCCTTGTATTAGTGTCCAGTCTTAGTTTCAGGAAATAATCATCAAATGACCTGACCTCTGGAGACTGCAGCTTTATCGTGATTCCCCCGTTGGCTTCCACCTCATAACCTTCAATGACTTCATCTCTGTCTGCCCATCCATCACTAAAAAATCAGGGTTTGGGGTGGGGAGAGAGAAAGATAAACATCTCACAAATAGAGCTCAGAGTTGTGCATGAATGAAGCAATTCAGCAAGGCTAAAATCTACTTTAAGCCAGCATTGCTACCCATCAATAACATTTTTTTGGCAGAGTAGAAGCTCATAAAATGATCATTCTGTTTGATTTTTTACAGTAGTGCAAGTAACGATAAAGATGGTGATAGTGACAATGATAAGAACTAACATTTATTGAGCATTTTTACTCACTTTAACAGAGTCACATGTCCTGGAATCTTGGTGAAACCAAGATATGAATCCAGGCAGTCTGGCTCTCAAGCTCAGTGCGCTTTGCAACTAGACCACAAAGCCCATCAGTCCCCTTCCCTACCACAAGGAAATAAAACTCAGGTACGCAAGGTCTTCACAGTTAGAGTTCAGCAAGTTTTCAAGGTAGTAATTAAGACCATGATAAATGCTGCATTATATGAGGTAGAACATTGATTTAGCTCAGAAACATGACAACCACAGATTTTGCTCCTAGACATTGTTCAAATTTGCATTGCTTAGAAATGAACAGATGCCTTCCTCCTGCCTAGTGCTATTTCACAATAGCAGCAATAAAGGAAGACAATCTCACTCTCCAAAATAAAAGAATCCTCCTGGTCACTAAATGGGAGTTCACTGTTACTTTATTCAGTGGGTTTGCATTTTTATTATTTGGCCATATTCTACAATGTTTACCTCTGCCATGAACAATGTAGCTCCAATTTAATTCAAGTGTACATAGAAGCCAGGCCAACCCTCACACAAGTGGTTGTGATCCCTCCCCAAGGGGTATCAAAGAAAAATTGCACTGAACATAGTTAAACAGGCAAAGAAGACTATTTATGTGTATTCCAATAGGCCAAAACTCTGAACTCAATCTGCTGGAATAAAAGGGGGAAGGGTTTTTAAGTGCAGGGATGAGCAAGTGAGAATGTGCTGGAAGGCTTAGGGGAGCTTGGTCAATGTGATCGAGCTATCTGCTTAGTGATTGCTCTTATCTAAGTTCCCACCTTCCCACAGAAACTGGGCAATAGATGTTTGCCATAATATTTGGTGATTACATTTTATAGGAATGGCTCCCAGGTTGCTGAGAAAGAAATGTCTCTGTTCTAAAACTTGCAGAAGTCTGAGAGAAAATTTATATCTCAAAGGAACAGAGAAAGAATTTACAATATGTTTTTGAAAGTAAATGCTCTAAGAAAAAAGAAATGCATCCCCTCCCTCCTTCCTTCCTTCCTTCCTTCCTTCCTTCCTTCCTTCCTTCCTTCCTTCCTTCCTTCCTTCCTTCCTTCCTTCTTTTTGTCTTCCCTTCCTTCAGAACACACATAGCACCCACAATGTTCCAGGTGCTCTGCTATGCTCAGAATTCAACTGAGAACGAGACAAGCTGTCTTCTGCCCCTACTGGTACAGGCCTGTGAGGAAAACAGACACTAAACAAGAATGACAAATGTTATGAAGGTAAAGAAGTGACCAGTACTATAGGAAGAAGGGGCTTGGGGGCTTAACCCAGTCTGGTGTGTATGTGTGTATGTGCGTGTGGGTGGGAGAGGGGTGCTTAGAAATGGCTTTCCTGAGACAGCAATGTCTGAGCTGAGATTCAGAGGTTTAGTCAGGTGAAGGGGTTGGGGGGCTGGCATAGAAGTTTCCTGGTAGATCATCTGCACACAGGAAAGAGCATGGCGCAGCAAGGAATTGAACGATTCAGAAGGCTGAGATGAGAGAGAACAGGGGCAGGAGGTGGGGCTGCAGCATGAATCCTGCCCTGGGACTTGCTACCCTAAGGGCTACAGGAAGTCCTCAAAGTGCTGCAAACCTATCTTAATAAGGCCAGTCAGCTCTGCTTCCTCACAGTAAATGACTTGAGTACTTTTCTGGCAAGTCCTTCTCTATTCACCGGCACTGAATATGATGGCCCGTCACATGGATCAAAGAAATAAGGGATGAACTCATTTACCTTCCTGTATGCTTAGTTTGCTTAGAAAAGTTCCAACTAGTTTCATTATTCAGATTTATTCACATTTAGATCATAACTACATCTGCAGCAATTTGAAGACCTGAGCTACAGTTCATGTCATGCTGAAAAGAAGGGTAAAAATAAAACCAGCTAGGCTTTCAAGAAACTCTGCCTGGGAGCCTATATTTAAAATCAAAATGGCATAGCTTGAAGAAAAAAAAAATTTTTTTTGAGGTAAGTTGTGGCTTGAAATGTGTTTCTCTCCAAGGTTGAATATTACATGAGACGTGTGAGGGGTGTGTGTATGTGTGTATGTGTGTGTGTGTGTGTGTGTGTGTGTGTGGTCGGAACAGGAATCCTATAGTTTTTTAAAGTATATGAAATGAGCCTTATCAAATGTTTGTTTGCATTTTTATGTTTAATCTTTATTGTTGAGAGCATTACAGATGCCCTCTCTTATTTCCCCCTTGCTCTCCACCACCAGGTTCCTGCCCCTCTCCAGGCCTTCACCGCCCTGTTGTGTGTGTCCATGGGCGATGCATGTAACCAAAGAACTTATATGTATATTTGCATTTCTTTTTAAAAATATATATTATCAGTTTATAAAAGTCAGTGTCATGTGTGAGTGCTAGAAACAGAGAAAGTGAGACTTCCTGCTTTTTTGCCCACCTAAAGAGAGAAGCACATCACAGGAGTAAACCTTCATTTATGAATATAGATAATTATAAAAGTCATACGGTTTAGTGGGGTGGAGGCCTGAATCCCCCTTGCCACTGGTCAAAGTCCCCCCTCCCCCACTGTAGATGACCTCTTCTCTAAAATTAGAGTTGGTGTTAAATCCAAGAGGTCATAAAATTGAGGAGAAGCAGATGTAATAGAGAAAATATTCAAGTAGAATTACTTAGTGACCATCATTTGAGTGTTAATTGCTAAAGATTTGTATGAGATCTTAAATATGTCATGGGTAAGATGTTAAGAAATGCTAACAAATAAAAAGTTGCTGGAAAATGTCCATAAAACAACTTCCTGGATTTTATATATTTTATGTACCTACCACTTGTCTCATGTATATAGAGAATTTTGAAAGATTCTCTCTGTTTAGTTGCACTGGGATTTATTTATTTATTTTTTAACAAGGAGATTGTTTTGTGAATTCCCTGCTAAGCACACTTGAAAAGAGAGAGCCAGTAGCTTGCCTGATACCTGGTGTAGGTTTTTTCTTTTGCCAGCGATGGTGACAGTGCTATAGACTGTACTTGACCAGAGATGACCCGCAGGCACCTGCTCACCCTGTGTGTGTGGAGTGAAGCCCGCTGTGCTGGGTGCTGACCAGCCACAGGCAGTGCTGAACTCTCTAGGAGGCACATTGATGGCCTCTCGCAGCTTCTGCTGCTCCATCTGTTTCCCAATTATTAGTTCCTTTTTCTTTCCGGGGTCTAGAAATAACACTGTGTGCAATATGGATGGACAGGGTGAGCAGTTATCAAAAAGCTGAATGGCCTAAGTATTCCTCACAAACTTAGAAGAATATGTCCTATCTCCCCTCAACATTTATACAGAGCAACTCTTTCACCAGGTTGGTCTTCCCTTCCCACAAAATTATTGTTCTAGTCCCTGAAAAATGTCACAATCCGAACATGACTACTAATATTTCTGCTACGTAATATATTCTGATATTAACAACATGAAATTATTATTTCTAATTCTACCAATTATAACTTGAGAGGAGCTGCATGAGTGTTACTTTAGTATCATATCAGTTAAAATAATTTAATAAGCAAATCAATAGTAAAAAACAGAAATACAACAGTGTTCGTTTAAAAACTGTTCAAAAACATTTTAGAAAAACATATTTACACCCAATTAAAATAGTTACAATTTAGGAAGTAAAGTAATTTGATTTGTGTTATGAGTTTAAGTAATTGTGTTTACCTGATAATAAAACTGTAATTCTTTAAAAGTGTTCTAGAGATTACCATATAACTAGGGAAAAAAGAAAAGCATAAAAAAAAAGAATGCTTTCAAAAACATATGTAATCAAGCACAAAATTTTATAAATTACAATGATAATTATATTTACAAAGATTGAAGGAATGTAGCATGGTGTAATTTATTTTTTTGTGTTGATTTTTCCTTTTATTTATTTATTTATTTTAAATCTTTATAGTTGCATGTAGAATGTATTACAGATGTTCCACATTTTTCCCCCTTGACCCCCTTCTCCCCACTCCCGCCCCCCTCCCGCCTTTTCCCACCCTATTGTCCATTGGTTATGCATATAAGTTCTTTGGTTTATTTCTTCCCATCCCCCCAACCCCTTTCCCTTTGAGGTTTGTCAGTCTAGCAATGAATTTGTACTTCGTAATCCCTTCACCTTTTTCACCCATTCCCCCAAACCCTCCCATCTGGCAACCAACAAAATGTTCTCTGTATCTATGAGAATGTTTCTGTTCTACCTGTTCATTTTGTTTGTAGATTCCATTGTTGATAGATATGTATTCATTGCCATTTTGTTTGTTCATATATTTTATCTTTTTCTTCAAAAAGACCCTTCATCATTTCATATAATAACAGTTTGGTGGTGATGAACTCCGTTAACTTTTTCTTGTCTGGGAAACTCTTTGTATGGCCATCGATTCTAAATGACAGCTTTGCAGGATAGAGTAATCTTGGTTGTAGGTTCTTGCCTTTCATCACTCTGAATATTTCTTGCCACTCCCTTCTGACCTGCAAAGTTTCTTTTGAGAAATCAGCTGACAGCCTTATGGGAACTCCCTTGTAGGTAACTAGCTGCCTTTCTCTTGCTGCTTTTAAGATTCTCTCTTTGTCTTGAACCTTTTGCATTTTGATGATGATGTGTCTTGGTGTGGGCCTCTTAGGATTCATCTTGTTTGGGGCTCTCTGTGCTTCCTGGACTTATATGTCTGTTTCCTTCACCAAGTTAGGGAAGTTTTGTCATTATTGTTTCAAATAGGTTTTCATTTCTTGTTCTCTCTCTTCTCC